TAAATAGGACACAAATCTGACATCAGGAATCATAACATCAGAAACCAGTGGGAGAACACTTCAACCTCTCTTACCACTCAGTGACAGACTTGAAGGTGACAATTTTGCAACAAAAAAACTTACAAAAACAGACTCCAAAGAGAGACTGCTGAACTTGAATTAATATGCAAATTAGATACCATTAACTTAGGTTTGACCAGAGACTGGGAATGGTTGGGTCATTAAACTAATTGAATCTATCTATGGGTCATCTCGATTATCACTTCAAAAGTTTTTTTTTCTCCTGCTGATGATAGCTCATCTCAATTGATTGGCCTCTTACAGTTGGTATGGCTACTTCCACCCTTTCATGTTCTCTGTATGTATAAATATCTTCTTGCTGTATGTTCCAGTCTATGCATCCGAAGAAGTGGGCTGTAGCCCACGAAAGCATATGCTCAAATTTGTTAGTCTCTAAGGGTAGGTCTACACTTACTTCCTGGTTCGGCGGCAGGCAATCTATCTTCTGGGATCGATTTATCACGTCTTGTCTAGACGCAATAAATCGATCCCGGAAGTGCTCGCCGTCGACACCGGTACTCCAGCTCGGCGAGAGGAGTACGCGGCATCGACGGGGGAGTCTGCCTGCCACATCTGGATCTGCGGTAAGTTCGGACTAAGGTACTTCGAGTTAATAACGTAGCTGAATTTGCGTACCTTAATCCGAAGTGGGGGGTTAGTGTGGACCAGGCCTAAGGTGCCATAAGTACTCCTGTTCTTTTTACTATTGGCAGATGAATCCTTCTTTACAATGGGTGAAATCACAGCCGCCGAGCTCAATTCCTTCCATACGTGGGCTGTTCGAAAATGCTGATTTGGATCTTGAGCATCTCTTTATTTAAAACATTTAGTCTTTGGTAGCGCTTCTTATTGAAACCTTATACAGGGCCCGTTGAGAGATCTCCGTGCCATTACATAAAGTCTAACAATGCTCCTATAATGTAGTCGCTCGGCTACTTAAACCATTTTAAGGGTTGGACTACATTAGAAAAATTGAACTAATGTAACTAAATTGATTTAAAAGTGAACTCCGTGACCTCTCTGAAAGTGAGAGCTTTTTATTGCCTGTCATTTTCTTATTCTGATCCAACATGCTCTCACTTTCAGAGAGGTCATGGAATTCTGAAGATATTCATCTCTTGAAATTTTTCTATAAGCTGTTCCTTAATGGAAGGATCCTTTCCCCCTTGTAGTGTCTGTCTTATCATTCAGGGGACCCTGGAAGAACTAGAAATGCAGTCCTCTGATGTGGAAATTGATAATTTGCAAGGTTATTGGATTGGAAGGGCTAGTCCTTCTTATTGGAAACCTTATACGGTGCCCGTTTAGAGATCTCAGTGCCATTAATGTCGAACAATGCTCATATAATGCAGTTGCTCTGCTACTTAAAATATTGTAAGGGTTCGTCTATATTAGAAAAATTGAATTAATGTAACTAAATCAATTTAAAAGTGATCTAGTTGCACTCATGTGAACCCCTAATGTAGACACGAGAGAGGGTCAGGAGGTTTCTGGTCAAATTTTTTTTTTGACAGAAGATTCAGTTTCTTCAAAATCTAAAGTTTCAATTTTGCCAGATTTTTTCAGTTTTCCACTGGGAAAGTCCAAACAAAATATTTAATTTCAAGTTGGTTTGACTCAAATCAGAATATTTTGGTTTGTCAAACTGAATCGAAATATTTCATTTCAGCTGCATCCTGGGAGATGTAGTCCGGTGAAGGAGCCCAGTCCACAGTGGGTGAATGGGGGCATGAAGCACCCAAACTACAACCACCATGAAGCATTGTGGCAGCTCAGGGGACACAGATTAATGTTGAACAAGACAAAATGAAATGTGGTTTGACTTGCTTCAGCAAACAGACAGGAGACATCTTGATTCAGGAAAGTCAAAATGTTTTGTTTTGATCAGAAATGTTGCAACAAAGCATTTCTAAATCAATTATTTTTTTTGGAACTTTTCATTTTGCAACAAATTTTGATATTTCAACTTTTTGTCCCTATGTAGGATGCTTTTTTTAAAAAAAAGTTGGAATTTCTACAGTACAAATATTCCAGTTTTTGTCCAGTTCCAGTAGACACTCTTAAACCTTTGCTTAACTCAGTTTAGTTTAATTTGGTAAGTTACCGATGCACGCTAACCCATTTAAGGAAGAGTTTAACTGGTTTGAGCTGATCTACATTATGAGATTGCCTTGGTTTAACAAGATTCATTCAAAATCAATCTTTAAACTGGTGCAACTTTTCTAGTAGAGACAAGGTCTAAGTCTCTGCCTCTATTGCTTTAGCTGGTGAAATCATTCCATTTCGGAGGAACCTTCAACTCCTCAGAGGCATCTGCCTCAAATTCTGACATCTGTTTACATTCCATAATGGAAGAATGATAAAAAAGGAAAGTCTGTTTTTCTTATCATAGCTTTCTTACTGATGGGAGACAGGATGTTTTAATCGGAGTTGGAACTTCCCTGCTCCCCTGGATAAGTCATCAGACTAATAAAAATGCCAGTTTCAAAGACACTTTTAAGACATTGAAAGGTGGAGATCTTTTTATCAATCATCAGAGCATTATAGACACCTCATGTGCTATTGCACAAGCAGAGTCCCTGCATTATAAACTTCGGGGAGGTTTAGCAGTGCGTCGAGCCTGCTATGGCGTCCTCCGCTTCATTATGGAGAGTGGTGCTAAGGGTTGTGAGGTGGTGGTGTCCGGTAAACTCAGAGGCCAGCGAGCCAAGTTGATGAAGTTTGTGGATGGCCTGATGCTCCACAGTGGAGACTCTGTAAACTACGATGTCGGTACAGCTGTGCGCCACGTCCTTCTCAGGCAGGGTGTGCTGGGTATGAAAGTAAAGATTATGTTGCCTTGGGACCCAAGTGGGAAGATTGGACCCCAGAAACCCCTGCCAGACCATGTCAGCATTGTAGAGCCCAAGGAAGAGATCTTACCCACCACACCCATCTCAGAGCAGAAACGTGGCAAACCAAAACAGCCAGCCATGCTTCAGCCTGTTCCCAATGCATCATGGGAATTTTTCAACACTTGGAATGAGAAGGTGGACTGTGACCCATGAAAGGATCTGAATAAAATCTTAAAAGAGCAGAAGAGTGGTGCTCCAGCAGGGTGAAGGAATGGCTCAGGGCATTGGTGAGCATATAGAGAGTCTTTCTTCTCTAAATTACTGGTACAATCCAGCCCAGGTCAGTACTTAATATGCGGTTGCCATCAGCTGCCAGTTTTTATATAGCACCCTAGATGTTCTTGGTACTTTACAGGCAAAAAGAAAGACAGTCCCTTCCCCAAGGAGCTTAACAATCAAAATAAACGAAGAACCCATTCAAATCACAACAGAGGGATGTGGTCTGAGGAAGATGGCTAGTGGAAGGAAAACACTGCTCTTAGGGTGCGTCTGCACTGCACACTTTATCTGGCAGTTTGCAGTGTGCCCAGCCCCCCATCGCAGGTATAAATCACAGTGTCACTGGTGAGGCAAGTAAAGACATGCCTGAAGGGTGTGGGTATGGAAGAGAGTATGTACATTACATGCTCTCGGCTTGCCCAAGCTGTGCCTCCCGTTCATGCTGCTATTTTTAGCTATCAGTGTCCCACTGCCTCTCTGCTGCTGGAGCCTTTCCCCACCACAGGAAGAGACTCCCCCAGCATGGAAAGGCTTTGGCAGGGGGGAGGTCGTGGGAAACAGGTTGGACAGGTGTCCACTGTGAGGCCTTTGCCCATTGCAGAGAGAGGCTCTGGTAGCTCCCCACCACTTGAGACTTTCCCAAGTTGCAGGTAAAGGTTCCAGCAGGCAGGAAAGGCTCTTCCAGCTCCATGCTGCTTGAGCATTTCCCCTCCAGGGTGAAAGGCTCTGGCAGGGGGGCAGGCAACGGCCTTTCCTCACTACCTCTCCTCTGCCAGAGCGTTTCACTGCCATGTCTAGCTACACACCGCAGTGTGAACACAGCCTGCTGCGTGTAGCTCCATGTACACTACACACCCATCACCAATGGTGTATAGTGTAGACGTAGCTTTAAAGTGCCTGCTCCAAAGTCCATGGGAGTCTTTCCATTTACTTCATTGGGCATTGGCTCAGGCTCAGGGACCCCTAATTTTGAAATCAGTAATGTCATTCTGCCATAGATAGAGTTTTGGGCGCAGAAATGTGCCACCTGTTGAAATTGTGTCCATTTGGGTGCAAAACCCATCACTCTGTCAAAAAACATTGGGTCTCTGAGGTGGCCTGCACTAAGGTGTGAATAGTTTTTCCATGAAATGACACTGAGAAGAATATTCCTTATTTTCATACAAACCTAAAAACAAAACAAAAAATCCCCTCTAATTGGCAGGCTAAGGGCTGCAGGTCCATGGAGCCTGGCCTACTCTTTTCCATACAGAGGCAGACCCTTGAGAACAGGGAGGAGGTCCACTAGCAAGGCAGGGTGAGGAAACAAACATGCACGGTTGCTGCCAATGTTGTTCCTAGTCCGTGGCTATGTTGAAGAGTTTAGTTTCCAGGGATTTAAGGAGTGCACTCACCACCAGAGCCCCCCCTCATGTCAGACACAATATTGCAGGAGTTCTTTCACTCTAGGACCCCCTTGAGTGCTGGGTCCACCATGATCTGATACTTCCGTGGCCTAGCGCTCCAGCCAGGTCAGCTCTCCATCCAGATCCTTTCCAGGATTAATAGAAAACAAATTAAATCTCAACTCAAAATAGCCTCCTGGGCATTAAAGTCCATACTATAAACACTAATCCTTCATAGCGATCCAGTCTTGTTGAGGTTAGGCATCTGAGTGGGCCAAGTTTCTTGGGTTCGGTCAGGGAGAGTTTGCCTCTACTGTGCTGGCTTCATCCCGAACTGGCCCTTTGTAGAAGCAACCAGCCCTTTTCATTTGGTCTGCTGGGCTCTGATTGTCTTTCACCTGCTCCCAGCCCTTCTAGGTGCCGGAGGACCAACCCTCGCTGGTTCTGCCCGAAGCCGAACATGGGAGGCCTCTCTAGGCATCCCCGAGAGGCCTCTCTGGGCTTCCCCAGGAGGTCTGAACTTGCAGTTCTTCTCTTCCAGAAGGACACCTGCATAGGGCCATGTGTGCCAAGGCAGTGGGGGCTCTGGCAGGGGGCAGGTAGGGCTTGGTACGCCCTGTCACACAGGGATGTCAATGCAGCATATTCCATGAGCATGGCATTCACCCCAGAAAGCGTTTTCTTTGAGTCCTTTTTTTTTTTTGTGCAGCCTCTTAACTAATGCTCTGGAATCAGTGATTTTACATGTCATAGTCATTGATATATTCATGTTTACATGGAGGTTTGAGTTCTCTGAGACAGCCCAAGCCCCAGGACTGCCTTGCATCCCCTGCTGCCACTTCCTCCGGGGTCCTACTGCTCCCCTTTGTCATTTTCAGGGGTGATGTGTGGCCACTCCTGTTGTGTAATGGTCTTCAAAAAGCCACCAGACCCACTGCTCTCCTTCAGCTGAAGACTCATGAGAAGGGCTGGATAAGTCCTATAAACTCCCACCAAACTCCTTTATAGAAGCCAGCCGGTTTAGGGGAGCATTCCTACTGGCAAGTGATAATCAAACTTTATTTTAAAGGACAGTGAAATATTTACACGAGCTAGATAGACCCTGGCACAATGAGAATGGAGATGGGATAGAGAGGAGCATTAGTCAGTAACTCACTAGCATAAGGGGCAGATTTAATTTCCAGGTTGCACCATTATGAGAGATTAATAAGCCTTAATTAATTAATTAAAAAGCAGTGTGGCCTAGTGGAGCGAGTGGTGAACTGGGACACAGAAGCCCTGGGGGCTGTTCTTGTGGCCTGCTGGGAGACCTTGGGAAAGACCCTTCCACTCTCCGTGCTTCAGTTGCCCCCCTGTAATATGGGGACAATAAATAATGACCTCTTTTGTAAAGTGTTTTTGAGATCTACTGGTGAAAGTATCTAAGCAGTCTCCCTAGTAATTCAGAATTGTTCCTTCAGATAATGATAGTCTTCCATCTCAACATCTCACAGCGCTTTACGGGCATGAATGAAATAAGCCTCACCCATTGCCTGTGACGAATGTAGCTACATGCTTTGGTATTTTTTTCCTGATCAGGTTGTAGTGACACTTCCAGAACCTCTCTAGGGAGTTTATTCTATAGTCAGATGGACTCTAATGCTAGGGAACTTTTCCCCAATATTCATTTGAATTTCTTGTTATTGACCTTTGCACCTAAGTCTGGGGTTTAGGTGCCTATGTACCTTTGTGGATTCTACCCTTAGGCCCTGATTCTGGAAGGTATTTAAGATCACATGTTCCCTAGATAGTTGAGTAGTCCCAATAAGTCAGGGCGACCGCTTAGTTACTTCACATTAAACACATGTTCCTGAATCAATCAGAATATTTGGTAAGAGTATATCTGCATCCTTTTTGCCCCATCTTGGGATTGGTAATGTTACAAAAATCATTCACTTTTTAGCTCCTGTGCGTTATAATTTACTAAAATTTAATCTTTTTGTAGGGGGAGGGATAGCTCAGTGGTTTGAGCATTGGCCTGCTAAACCCAGAGTTGTGAGCTCAATCCTTGAGAGGGCTATTTAGGGACCTGGGGCAAAAATCTGTCAGGGATGGTACTTGGTCCTGCTGTGAAGGCAGGGGGCTGGACTTGACTTAATGACATTTCAAGGTCCCTTCCAGCTCTATGAGATAGGAATATCTTCATATAATGATAAAATCATTATATGTGTCATACCAGACTCTAGAAAACAGTGCATTTTGGGGATAATGGAGCAAGCTGATGTATTGCTTCTGTACCGGGGAGCAAATTCTTCTCTCCCATTCAGCATCTTATTCCATTCCATTGATTTCAATGGGGCTATTCGTGGAGTAAGATGTTGCTCAGAATGAGCAAGGGTGGCAGATGTTGCCCCTTGGGAATAAAGTCCCAGATTCCTTCCTGTACCAGAGTTCCAGTTGGTTTAGCAGAGTGGGGTGAAGGGTGGCATCAGGGAGCAGGGCCGGCTCTGGCTTTTTGGCCGCCCCAAGCAAAGAAAAAAAAAAAACCAGGGGCGGCCAGAATAGGCAAAGCAAAAACAAAAAACCTAAGTGGCGCGGCCGGAGCCAGGGTGCAGGGGGACTCCCTACCCTGCAGATGTGCCCCAGCTAGCGGGGGGAGGGGGAGGAAAGCAGGGGGGAGAGAGAGAGGG